CCCGCCCCCGGCCAGCGCGCCCGCCCGCTCGCGGAGCAGGCGAGACGGCGGGCTAGAGGGGCCGTTCCGACCGGCTGCCGGCCGGAAGTGACTGGCTGGGGACTGCGCTGGCGTCGCAGACTTCCGGCCCAGCGTTGCTACCTCTAGCCGGTGCGTAGACCGCCACGGAGCCGGAGCCGGGCCCAGCCGGTCAGGTGAGCGACACGCAGGCGCGGTCCACCCGGCGGCCGTGGCCGGCCCGAGGGCGAGAACGGTCCCGCCTGGGCGAGGAGCGCGTGGACCGGAGGCTCAGTCCCTCCTCTTCCCCGCAGGATGATCACGGACGTGCAGCTCGCCATCTTCGCCAACATGCTGGGCGTGTCGCTCTTCCTGCTGGTGGTTCTCTATCACTACGTGGCGGTCAACAACCCCAAGAAGCAGGAATGAAAGCGGCACTTTCTCCGCCCAGGTAACGGTCTGGGTCGCAGCGCCCCGCAGAGTGGAGCGGCGAGGCCGCGCCAGGGCCGGCGGGCTCGGAACTTCACGCCGGGAAGTGTCGGGCCCAGATCCCGCAGAGCAGGGAGCGCCTTCCCCCCCGCCGAGTGGGGGTGGGAGTCTGCACCCCCTCAGGCCCACCTTCATGTGGTCCCCAGGCTTCAGTGAGGCTGAGACTGTTGGGATAAAGGCATCGAGGCGGCCGGACAGGCTGAGAACGTGGGCTCGCGACTTACTGGGCCTCACTTTCCCAGGGGTTAGGCTTTTCATCTAGCCACGGAGTTGCTGCTGAGGGCATGAAGATAAAGAATGTCCATGTTTTGGGGCCAGGACACTGGATTAGAGGTTGGCCACCGTACACCTGAGTCAGAGAGAGGACAGGTGGGGTGGTGGGAGAAGGCGCGGAGCCCTTTCTTAGGTGTGGGTCAAATATGTGAAGGGGAACAGGCTGGATGGGTGTGGATTTCCGGAAGGATTTCCTCAGAGGAAAGATGCAGCATTTTCCTTACCTCAGGTCTTTCCCCCTTTTTTCTAGGGTTCCAGGACATAGTCTGAGGCAAGATGGAGGGTGTGAGGGGCCTTCACACTTCACTTGATCCCTTCTACCCATCACAACATACAAAGCAACTACACCTGGATTTTCCCAAACAACTTTTATTTCCAAGTCTTCCTTAACTCTATGGAACAAGAAGCTGCCACTGAGTAGGGCCCAGTATAGGGGCTGCTTTCTTTTCTACTCCCCACCCAATATAAAAATATAGATATACTTTTTGTGGTCCCCAAATCTTGTGCTGTGGAGGGAGGGAAGGGGTGGCAGGTCCCTGCTTTGGCCTGTCTCAAGGTGCTGCTTTGCAAAGCCCCAGAATAAGTTGACTGGCATTCCGAGGAGGTACAGTTGTCACATGGAGTCAGCAGCTGAGGGTGGAGACTAGCACATTCTCCCTGAATCCCCATCTTGGGACTATATCCTAGTCATGTAGTCGAGGCATCAGACCCGGGGAGATACAGCAAACGGGGGAGACTTAGGGACAAAACAAACCTCAGTTTGGCCCACGGACCCCCCAGTGTAACAAATCCGGGACTGGGAGTCAGAGAGACTACAAGAGAGAGGAGAAAAGGCAGGGGCAGAGTGGGGCCGTGGGGGCCCGGCCTGAGGCATCCTGCAACAGAGAAGAAAACAGTGTCAGGGCTATGGACACTCTGCCCCTCTTCTGAGCTTTTAGCCAGGGGTTGGGAGCTAACAAGTGAGCTAGGTAAGGATAAGCAGGCTGAGTCTTACACTGTGGCCTGATGCTGGAACCAGCCAGCTCCCAGGCCTTGGGCCCTAACTTGAAGTTTGTTTTCTAATACATTGAAGTAAAGATTGAGGCTATGACAGGGAAGACGGGCTAGATTCTTAATAAAAGTACATTCAGTCTTTTGGGGTCAAAGGGAACAGGGAAAGAAGACAATGGTCCTGAAAGACAGAACGGAGATGAGGGGCTAGAAGTGAGAGGTGGGGTGAGGGACTGAACTGTGTGCTCACCCTGGTGCAGAGCAGGGTCCCGGCTCCAGCTCACTGCTCTCCCTGGTCCCGGGAATAGGGGATGTGGGGCCCGAAGAGCCTCTCATCCCTCTGCAAGTCGGCGGTGAGCCCCGGCCCAACCTGGGCCTAGCCTGTGTGGACATGGGGTAAGCTAAGAGGCTAGATTCTTCTGTGAGCTTTTTTGCCTCTAGGTTAGCTTCTAGAGTTTGCATGCAGAAAGAGTGTAGTGGAGTAAACACAGGTACTGGAATCTTTCATTTCTGGGCACTGTCCCTAGCTGAGAGGGTGAGGCAGAACGACAGAACTCCAGGGTTTGTCTATGACCACACTCTTAAGTCTTGCTCAACCAGGGGAGGCAAAAGGGCCCAGCATTTACCCTCAGTCAGGTGTGGCTGAATAGTATGACACTGTGGACACCTCCTGGAGGATCGCTAGACCTCCCTCAGAGTCTGCCTCAGCCCCTGCCAGAGCAGCGTAAGCTTCACCCATACAGTCAGTTTCTGCCAACACCCAAGGGTAGCCAGCCTCACATGGGGATCGGGACTGAATCAGAATTGGTTGCGTAGCTGTCCTAGGAGCAGCAGCCACATGTGTTACCTGGGGAATCCGGGACCCCTTCTGGCGGGAACTCTCCTCGGGCAGGTCTGGGCAGAAAGAGAGGAGAAGCTAAGGGGAGGGGCAGGAAGAGCTAGCGGGCTTAGGGTGGGTTACAACTGGTGGGACATGGGTTGGAAGCAAGCAAGAGACCTGGCTGAAGGGTAGGGGGGCAATGGAGTCAGAAGGGGGGCAAGAGCAGCTCTTGATGTGGCTGGGAGAGGCGGTAACATTTTCCCTCCCACTGTCCAGATGAAATGCCTTGCTGGGCTCTGCCATAGCTGTTAGCTGGGGACCAGGGAAGACCCCAAAATGTTACCTGTAATCGGGTCCTGATACAGGGCATCCGGGCACCAGTCCCTAGGAGACCTTTCCCAATCACCATGACAGCCTCTGGCTTGTCCCCTGAGGATAGGAATGAACAGCTGCTCCCTAAGGAACAAAGGAAATGGGTATTAGGGCTGGGGCCAGGGAGAAGAGGAGAGATAACTTCTTTAGATCAGCCTTGGCACTACTGAGTGTGTTGGGGATTCTTTGTCTTGGGGGGGCTGTCTTGTGCATTGTAGGATTTTTAGCAGCATCCCTGTCCTTTACCATTTGTCGTAGTTGCTTCTCTTAGCCCTCATCATTACAATCACCAGAAATATTTCCAGACATTGAGAAATGTTCCTTTTGGGGGAGGGGGAGGGTGGACAAAATCGCCGCTGGTTGAGAAGCACAGGACACATCATGCTGTAACCTGGTCCAAGGAATGCAGCTGAGAGCTTGAGGCAGAACTCACTCAAGCTGCTCTTCTCTGGAAAGGTAGAGACCGCAGAGCTTACTCCACGCAGAGGTGCAAGCATGTGAGGATTGATCAGCAGTACCCTGCACTGCTGGACTGCGGGCTACCTCTGAAGAGTAAACTGCGCAGGTGTCATGGGCTCTGAGGGAGGTGGAGGAAGTGAAACGAGTCTGATCAGTTGTTCCCCTCCAGTCCTCAGCACAGGCAGGTCTCAGAAGAAAAGCAGACAACAGCCTTTGGCCACACAATGCAGTGATGACAGGTGAAAGGTCTGTTTTTTTGTTTTTGTTTTGTTTTATTTAGGTTTGTCTAATGTTGGTCAGCTCCTGAAGTTAGGAAGCTTGACTAGCAAGCAGGAAAAGACCTGATTCCTCAACTGTGAGGATTAAATGAGAGAATGCTTAGAGCAATGTTTGGCACGTAATAAACGCTCAGTAAGTGGTAACTGATTTTATTATACAAAGATGTTCATTGAATTCCAGCTTCTGTACAGGGAGTTAGGATAATCCAGGAGGATAACTGTCCCTGGCCTGGAGTGACCTGCATTACACCAAGTCAAGAAGGAAGTCCAGGCGGCAGCAGAGCTGAAGGGAAATCTCCAACTCAGTCAGGAGCCTGGTTTAACACCTTGGGTAGTCGGGAAGGAAGGAGGCTGGCGAACCCAGACTTCAGTGGCAGTGGGTACAGACCTGATATGCTGAGTGAGTTGGGCAGCAGGCAGGGACCCATGTTTCGTGAGGAGGCTGGACCAGAATTAGCAGGAGTTGGGGCTGGGATCAGGCTGCTTGAAGTAGAGCGATGGGTCAGTGGCTGTTGCCGCCGTCTCCTGTCCTGGCATCTGGGCTCTGAGTAGAATGGACACAAGCAGATGAAAAGGCAAGTGGGCCCTGGCACTCCATTCTCCTGCTGCCTCCCCTTGGTCAGAAGAACCTGCTTTCCATCCCACTAGTGTCCCTTGTCTAAAGAGACTCTTCTCCCATCAGTGAGCTAGTTTGTAAAGTGACTCATTTATTCCAGTAATTCAGCTCACAGCCAGCCCTCCTACTTTGCTTCTCTGTAGCTAACCAACCTACTCACCCACCAGTATATTCCTCTCACAAAGAGGTTCCTGAGCTCGGCTTCTAAAACACAGCTTTCCTAGGTTCTTCTCTAACTTCCTTTTCCATTACAGGTAGAACTGACTATTCCCCTTTCTTCATCATTCTTTGTGCACTTGGCTAGGAACTAATTAGTACAAGTGAAGGACTTACAGCGCCCACACATAGCATGTAGTGTTAGCCGACATTCTAATTGGAACTTGAGGGTGTGGACCTGTCTTCTACAATACTGTATGTCCCAGTGCCCACAAAATACTGTTTGGAAAACCAGAGACCTTGGAGAGTATTTTGTCAACCTGAGCAGCAGACACCAACTACCGATCGTACAGTTAAACCCTATCGGCAGCTCTGTGGTCTAGTCCGTGTGGTTAGAACCTCACTGCTCTAAGTTCAGAAAAGACAGACTTCAGTGGAGCAGGTAATGCTTGGCTTGGGCAGGGAGGCTTCCAGACTTGGCAGGCCCTCGTTCCAGAGTGGCAGCAGATACCAAATGCTCTCAGACCAGAGCTATTAGCCTTCCTGGAACTGCATTCAAAGGAATGCTCCCTCACAAAGAACTTCATTTTGTCTGGCTACACTGAGCTAGTCACAGTGAGCAGTAGCCAGCAGTAACAAGGTTACCTTGGGAAATGTCCCAAACCAAGGCTGAAGAACCGATACATGAATAGGACAAGACCTCACGATGGCAGCTACTCTAGTTGGAGGAATTTACTGGGATGGTGGGTACCAATTAAGACTTGAGACCATCGCCTGGGTAAGTTTTTTGTTAAAAAGTGTCCAATTTGCAGTGAACAGTAGGCAGAAATCAGAACTTGATAGAGAAGGAACTAGTGGGTTTCTAGATGATCTAAGAAGTAGTTATTCAGAATCATGTTGTAATCATGTTAATGGATAAAGCCACATCCTCACTCCAGGAGAGAGTAATTGAAAAAGGGTGAAACCCTTTGGGACATCTGTATGTTCTAGTAAGAACTCAAGTTAACACTTAAGGAAGATGGGAAGCAAAATAGGCAAATGACATAATAAATTCAATATGAAATGCAAAGATCACGGGAAAGGCATTAAGGGTAAACTAGGGATCCTGTCCCGAATTAGTTTCAGGATGTGAGACAAGGTCTGAACTGGAGAGTATAACGCGTTTAATTAAAGACTTAAAAGACTGGCTCAAGATCTGGCCCAGTGAGTTAAATCAGGCACTGTGAGCAGACAGCCCAGATTTCCCTGTTCTGATTTTGGCTCCAGGACTGCTCCATGCCCACCGAGACAAGAATCAACCATGTTCGGCTTCTAGATGTACTGAACTGATATGACAATCAGCGACAGATTCTATTTTGGAACTGGCAAGGTAGTTGTGGGGTAAAGGTCTGTGAGGTAGAGCTAGACAGACCTCATCACCGAGTGGAAAGTCTGAAGCCTCACAATTTAGAGGAGTACTTCTCTCACTTGGCCCCAGGACCTACGCTGTCAGCCCTAAACACTTTTAGAACTGTTCCTACCTGTATAGCACCCCAGAGCTTATTGAATCCTTTGGGTGACTGCAGACCAGATTTGTGCCCTCCTGAATGGGAGACACAGGCATTTGGCTCCCAACTTGCCTTCAAGTATTTGCTGATCACTTAAACGCCAGGCACAGCGCTAAGGGCGTAAGTAGGTGTGTTAGGAGGCATTTCCTACCATAACAAGTTTTAAGTTACTTAACATACAACTTTTGTTTGTGGTGGAAAATTAAGTAAAGTGATAGTATGAGAGTCAGTTCCTGTGTCTCGTTAAGTGGCCACTGGGCTTCAGCTGCTTTATCAAAAGTGGCCTGCCTGCCGAGTCGGGACATTACAGAGGCGGAGAAAAGATGGTGGTAACATCAGGTTTAAGTGTCAGAATTGGGAGTCAGGGAGTGCGAGGGTGCTAAGAGTTGAAGGTGCCCCCCCAGTACACTCAAGTTCCTTTTGCCCTCCAGTGCGCTGGGTAGGCTGGAGGGCCAGGGGTACATTTCAGGTATCTGCTTGCTCGGGTGGGGCTCGACTAGGATGGAGCGGTGAGACAGGGTGCACATTCAAGGAGGCCTCGCCTGACCGAGAGTGAGTGCCCTTTGCACTTGTCTCCTGGGGATCTCCTGGGGCTCCAGTCTTTGCCTTGCTGTCATCAATCGTAACCACAGAAAAGGCTGGTTTTCATGGCTACCCTCTCCTCAGCATACTTCTGCACCCAGTACCTGCGGGTTTTGTGTTCCCTCACTCCATGCTTTTACTAGCTGTTGGCCTTCCCTGTCTGCAGCAGTAGCTGCCGATAGTGCTGTCTGCTTCTGAGTCTGACCACAGCTCTGGGAGGGCGCGCTTAATGCCTGGTTTTGCAGCAGAAAAGAACAAGGTATAGATGACCTTGGCACTGTGGTTGGGACTGCTGCAAGTCGAGGCTTACTCAGCCCTTTCACAGCCTCCTGTCCCAGGAAAATTCCTGGTCACTCCCTGGTTTTCTAAAACGTCACCCCCAGCCTAAGGACAGAACTTGTCGGACTAGCTCCCTGAGCGTCTGCCTTAAACTCCTGGCTGGGCTGCCTAACTCTTCTGGATAGGTCAATCGGTTGATTTGTTCTAGTTAGTAAAAGAATTGTTATTAATTAAACATAGTTAAACTTGACACAATTTTTACACGTTAGTGGGAAATTTCTTACAAATTCACAAGTTTAAAAAAGTCCTTTGTCAAATCACATTCTAAATTTTGGGCGTGGGAAGTAATAGCTGCTTTATAGTTAGATTTATGAGACTGGAGACTCTGTTTCTCTATCATGGAAGACAAAGTATACCTAAATGTGGCATATCAGCCGTGCACATCCGCCTGTATACTTCAAGTCATTTCTAGATCACTTACAATTCCTAGTGCGATATAAATAGTTGTTATACTTTTTTAGAAAGAATGACAATAAAAACCGTCTGTACGCGTTCACTACAGATACAGCCATTGTAGGCCTGGTCAGTCACGTGGTGCACATTTTCCATCTGTGATTGGTTGAGCCTGCAGCTGTGGAACCTGTGAGTGTAGAGGGCTGTATGCTAACATGTTGTCTCTGTTTCCAAGACATTTCAATTTTCGTGGTGAAGAGCTTGGCCTTTTGAGCCAGTTAGTCTGCTGCTTTGTCCACTGTGTCCAGGGGTTCTGGTCTTTGCTGTCGTATACTGCCACCTACTTTTCAGAACCATTTCTCAATTGAATGTTCTCTGGCTAATTACGCTTTTGTTTATAACAGTGGCTCCCTAGGCCAGACTGTATGTTTCTAATTGTGTTTTTATGGAGGTTTTGCTGTTCTGTGTCCTCGATTAAATTTCAAGTCGTTTGATCAGGAATTACTCAGTACTGACTGTGCCTATCTTATGTTGGTTATCTTGGGAAATAAACAACACATGTCCCTCACTCAAAGAACTTAACACAACAAGCACTCTATCGAGGCAGGAGGGGAGATGTTAATAGTAGACAAATGAAAAACTACCTAGAATCCTCCAGTGAGGAATTAGAAAAGACTCTTTGGTGTTTCTCTTTTGTAGCCAGGAAAGAAGAATCTATGATGCTGATGTTCCTTTCCAGGAACTAGTAAGAGTTAAGAGGTATGAAAGGTCAACCAAAAAATGCCAACACTACTAAGGAAAGGATGGGAAAAAATTTGAATAATGTTTCAATAACTGTCACTTAATCCCTGTGCAATCTGGACAAATCACCTTAAACCGCCTCTGTTTCCTCATCAGAAAAATGGGAATACCATCTACCCCAGTGGGTCCGCAGTAGGATGAAATGAAGGATACATGTGATACTACTCACTGTTTAATGCTACTTAAATATAAGGTATCATTATTACTTCAGTACTCTCAAGCACTGTACAAAGTGTCTTTTCCCAACAAAGACAGAATCTCGAGCAAGTGGGCTTGGAATATAACAGGAACCGCCTGCACACCCGGAGGAACGCACCTTGGGGCAAAGCCGGTGGGCCACCGTCAGTCTCCTGAGGCAGCGAGACTGGCAGCTGCGGACCCAGTGAGGCTTCAGGTCTGTGCCAAGAGCTGTGTTGAAAGCTGAGTAGCCGGGTAGTGCTAACAAGGACAAGTGCAGCGCTAAACCAGTAAAGCTCTCAGTTCCAGTGTTCAAGCCTCCATATGCTGGCAAGATTTTCACAGCTCAGAAGCCACACAATACTGATTCATGGACAATCTTTACAGAAGCTGGGCTGCAACAGTCTCTCTCCCTACCAGTCAAGTTCACTCCCAGTGGCTCTGTATTCTTTCCCTTTTTCCCCAAAGACCCATCTGCTTCTGGCTCACATCTTAACCAGACTCTTACCAAGCAGGGCCACACTGGGCAAAATCTAGAGGCACTGATGCACAGCGGAGCAACTGTGGTCAGTGCTGGAAGGGGCCAGGCTGCCCCATCGTAAGTGTGTAGAACAGAAGAGGTTACATCATTTTTCCTGGAAGAGCTGGAGTTTTTTTGATACTACTTTCTGAATAGGCTCTGAGGCCAGGAGCAATTGCCAGCCCTCTTGGGCTCTGAGAGCATCACCCTTTATCCTGCCCCCAACAGAACCGCCTACCACTGTCCTGTTTTTCAGTGTGGTCCTGCTTGGGCAAATGTCCCATCCGTGGAAACAGCCCTGTCTCCAGCAGAGAAGCTGCGCATTAGGACTCACGCCCCTGCACACAGTACACCCTGGAGCTCGTGCCGCCGGAGACACCAACACCGCAGGAGACACCAACACCGCAGGAGAGGCTGCAGGTTCTGCTACAAACTGGTTTTATTGAGTCACCCCTTGGGCCCAGACCAAGTGTATATCTTCAGGTTCTCACTTCCCCCAGCAATGTCCCAAACAACTGAACACCTGCTGCAGGGGATCCCAGACTGGCTTACCTCTGACGGGGCCCAGCACCCGGTGGCTGACTTTTTGGGTGCTGGAGCCCAGGCCTGGCAGCCCTGTAGGCCGACTGCCATGAAAAGGGAAGCTGGGGGAGCTCTTCATCTGTGGTGAATTTTGTTGGCTGCTGCTGCTACCACCAGCACTTGTGCCAGTGCTAAAACTCCGCGTGCGGTTCAAGGTATTTTCAGAGCAGGAAACGGGCAATCCACTGCGAAGAAGTAGATGCCAGTTAACCCTGGGCCAGATTTTGTTCCCAACTCTTTCCTAGGTCTAGTGCTCAGTAGAGTTTCACCTTTAAGGTGAAAAGGCTTAGGGGCTCATTCCAAGAGGGAAGGGAGGAATTCATGTTCCTGGATGAGCGTCTAACGTGGGGCGTACCTGCAGGTCTCAGAACGCCTACAAGCCCCTGTTCATAACTCCATGCTCCTGCAGCCAGTGTTAAGTGCTACCCCAGTAGCCTTAACTCCCACGGAATTTCCGCCTTACAGCCTTGGTGCTGCCTCTGGGACCCTTTCAGTCATTCACAATTTTATCTGTGACTGGGGACACCTGCCCCCTACTCTCACCACATCTATATTTTGTGCAGGGCTCTGGAGTAGGGAGTTCTAAGCCTGATTTTCAGTATCTAGGATGTACGTAATTCCAGGTGAAAGGATCCCAGTCTCAGAAAATGAACTAATCTAATTTTAATTTACCCTGGAAGCATTTCTATCATGTGGTACTTGGGGATGAGAAAAGGAATAACAATTCCTTACAACGCCTGCTCTAGAGCCCTGTGCCATTTTCAAATCCTTCCTCCCCCTCTGCAGGCTTACTTGTTGACTTTGGGTGGAGTCCGAGAGCCTCTCTTCTTGCTGACACCCATGTTCACAGTGCTGCTCAGGCCACGGCTGCTTCGCACGTGTTTAAGCATCCAGGCCCGGAGGTTGGCGAGGCTGCTGTGTTCCGACAGCACAATTCGTGGCCACGGGTTGCATTCGGCCATGTCCAGGGCGGCAATGGCCATAGCTCGTCCCACCTGTAGGGGACCCAGTTTGGCTCAACCTGGTCCCAGCCTCGACTGCTTGAGTAGGGTGGAGTGTGCAACACAGTGGAAGGAGATACATACGGGTTCCAAATTGTGTACCTTGGCTGTTTATCACAGGTGGATTTTGAGCTGTTCCCTAACTGCGCCTCATGTGGGGGCCCTCATCAGCTATGAGAAGGGGTGATTGTGTATTCTGGTTGGCACCAGGAAGGAATGCCCCCGGGAGAAGGTGTCTGGATCTCTTCTATAACCCTACTCTTCTATAATCCTACTCTTCTGTGCTCTGGGACATTCTGACCACAGTAAAGGGTGCCTGGGGGCCTAAGAGTGAGTGAACTTAGTAAACGGAAGAAAACAAGCTCAGAGGCAAAGATTCGGCTGGACTAGGGGTGCTCTGTAGCGGGGGTCAGAGAGTGCCTGTTCAAATCTCCTCGCGGGACTACTATCGTTAGAGGCCTGCACCTGGCAACAGGGAAATAACCAAAGTAGGGAACCTCTCCCAGGGCTTCAGTCAGGCACAGGTGTGAAGCCTTTCCAGAATCTGAGGCTCCCCCTCCCACCGCGTATCCCAGTCATTCATACCTGCTCAAACAGCTCCACAGTGTATCTGGAGGGGAACGCTGGTGGGGGCGGGGGGCTGGCGCGCCCATTGTCATGGCAGGCAGCAGGGATGCTGTTGACCGAGCGTCCAGTGTTGTAGTTGCACTCAAGTGTGTAGCTAGGACAGAGAGAGCTTTATCAGAGCCCTGCCTGCACAGATGCAGGGGAGATGGGCGCTGTTAGAAGTAATCCCTTGCAAAATGGAGACAAGTGTGAAGTCCCCAGCAGCTAGCAACTGCCCTGGCATACACTCCTGAGGTTCCAGAAAGGCGGGGCCCAGACTCAGACAGTAACACTGCCCGTGAACCTGTGGGCTGGCCCCTGCCCCTCAAATACCCTCGACAGGGTACTGTTTTCATCGGGGAAGCCATTGCATCACTTGTGCCCCAGCTGCCTCCCAACCTGTGGATTATCCCTGAGGCTTTGTAGATTGCAACACGGCCGCTTCCCTCCTTCGACTGGCCGTCTCTGCGATCTCGGGCATACATGTTCTTTTCTGAGAAATTGCAGCCCTGGAAATCGAAGTGTGCTGAGTTCAGGGAGATGAGCTTGGGGTACAGCATATTTTCCACCTGTTCAGAGGAAGTAAAGGCAACTCAGGAGGGACGGAGAAAAAGAAGGGATAGGGTAAGGAAGAGATGGCGCACACAGGGCATGTGACTGGATGCAAGGCAAGACTGTCACGCCACCGGCAGTTACCAGCATCTCTAGAAGCTCACTGAACACCTCACATTCTTCCCAGCTGTTGGGAAGTACACGACCCTGGTTTCCCAAACTCTAGAGGGTCAGCTTGACTCCTTTCAAGGTAACGATGTAATGGC